GTCACTTGGTCTGTTCAGCCTGAGGAGACCTCATTGCAGTGTACAACTGCAATGTACACAATCCTTCTCACGGGTAGTGGAGGGGCAGCACCAATCTCTGCTCTTTGATGAGCAGAGACAGGACCTGAGGCAATGGCTGGAGCTGCGTCAGGGGAGTTTTTTGGCTGGATATCATGAAAAGGTTTTTCACCCAGAGGGTGGCTGAGCACTGGAACAGCTCCTCAGGGAAGTGGTCACAGCACCAAGCCTGACAGAGTTCAGGGAGCATTTGGACAATGTTCTCAGGCCCAGGRTGTGACCCTTGGAGTGTCCTGCACAAAGCTGGAAGTTGGATTTGATCCTTGTGGGTCCCTTCCAACTCAGCATATTCTGTGATTCTGYRATTCCTATGCTTTTTGTGGGAGATAGCTTTGGAAACTTGGATAGGGGGTTTGGCAAGTGTGGGGTTATTGACAGATAGCCCATGCGGGGCTCTTGATGTACCAAGTAACTTAGCCCTTCAGGTCCTGAAGTATAAAACCTTTTGAGTCTAAATGTTTATTTTATTTTWAGACAAGAGTAGCCAAAATAAAGTCTCTAAATTACAAAGGTTTTGAGGAAGAAAAAAATAAGACCTTCCCTCGAACTAACTTCCAAAGTTCCTAAAAGTATAAAAATATCATCTCTTCAAAGTGATTGGTGAAACTGTTAAACTGTCAGAAAAACTGCTATKTTTGCCCTATGCAAAATTTTACAGGTTTCTTTACCCTCAGGGGAATGGGTCAAGGTGGGGTGGAGGAGAAGGATCACCATTGGGTTCAGTCTCACTCGAGAAAATCCACATGAGAGACCCCCATCACATGAAAAGAGCTGCTTGACTTCAGAGTGTKCTGGTCTCTCCCCTGGCTTTCCAGCATGACCAAATGACTTTCAAGTTTGTACAAAAAATATTTTTTAAATCCAGTTGTTTTTCTCCAATAACTCCCTTCAAAAAATCAGATAAAATCTTCTGGAAATGCCCCGAGTCGTGAGATGGATGCCAAAATGACTGCCAGAACCCAGTATCTCCTGGCCCAAAGAACGGGCTTTGTTTTGCAGACACAGGAACACATGCCAGATCCCTGATCTCTCCAAGAAATCACAGGATATAAACAGCTGCCCAAAAGCAAGCCCCGGAGAACTTCAGTAACCTCCAGGAAAGCTCTGAGGTTAGGGAGACTAGGGACGCCAAAGAAGACATGAGGAGTCTGCTGGCACTGCTGATCGTGAYTCTGGCCCTGGCAGTGCTCTGCTGCTGCGAGAAAGGTAAGGGGACATCTTTGCAGGAAGGCTCCCAGAGTACTGTTGGACCCTATAGCTCGCTGACAGCTTCCCTTCAGTCTGGGAGAGATGCAGCTTTGGGTGGAGGAGATGCACGACCAGTCATTGCACAACCTCAGATCTCTCGTGGAGAATGGTCACAGATGAGAGATGGCTTAGGAACACAGACCCCCATCTTTTGCTGGGCACTTTCTTCCCCTGGTCAACACCCACTCACCCCCACCTCAGTTGCATATTGAATTGCAGCAGAGAATTCGAACATTTTAATACGTGTAAGAAACTGTTTTATCGTTTAGTCTCTCTCTAAGTGGTGGGTGTTAATAAAATCATTTTGGGGGAAACAGATCTTCTATGTAAGTGGGGAGAGCTAGATCTGGCTAGTTGGTGCTGGGATTCAGTCACAGAGGACGACTCACAACATAGAAGGAGCCACAAGCAGACTCTTTTCTGTCTGTCTTCCAGATCCCAAAGAACCCTCAGGATCTCTCAGCGCTGACAGTGAGTATATCACTCTGACTGATGCTCAGCTCCATTCTCCTGCCTCTGCCTTCTTTCTTCCCTTTGATATGTTAAAGGGCTGAACAAGAACCATGATGAGTCCCTCTCTAGCTCTTCCCTTTTTGCTGGCCAAGTCTGCAGTCCCCGAGGTACAGGAGTGTGTGCAGCAAACAGAGCATTTCACGTGTGAGCAGGTGACACGAGGGCAGTCAGTGTCCCTGCACCTGCAAGGACAGCATTGCTCGGGGTGTGTTAGTGCCACAGCCTGCCCTCCACAGCCCTGGAGCAGTGCCCTGGCAAGACTTAAATAATTTCCTGTTAGCTGCTGTCTGCATCTGCCTTCCGTGAAACAGGGTTGTGCTGGTAAAGCAGCACAGCCAGTGTCCCTGCTCTCAGCGGGATTAAGGGACATACCCAGAGTGACTGCTGCATCCTCAGCAGAACCTGTCCACAACAGTGGGTTGTGGCATGCCTGCCAAATCCTGCAGCATGGAAACCCTGAAAGAAAGGGTCTGCCTTGGCTGCTCCTGAAGACTGCAGCCCCTCTTGTCAGGTCACCTGGGATKTTGGGATTTGCACACCTTGGTTTGYTCACAGCTTTTGCAGCAAGCTGATCCTGGCAGAAATCTGYATGGAAAATCCTTTTTGTTCTCTCCTGTCTCTCCTTTCTCAYGCTTTAAAGGATAACATTGCTACTGAGAAGCATGAAAGCTGGTATTTTTTCCAGTGAGCCAATACAAACACAGATTGGGAAAGAGAAAAAAAAACATATAAAGACTGTTCAGGGAAAGGTGGTAGCTTGTGGCAGCTCATTAACTCTCAGTTTCTGTGCAGTCAGTATTTTGATTCAGACTAAACCTCAGCTTCCTAGAGAGGGGATACCTCTCACCTCCAAAGAGAAACCCAGCCAAACACTCCACAATGGTGAGGGAAGGGACAAACCCCACCATCTCCTCACAGACAAAGGTCTTAGAATCTTCTTTCCCCCAGAGAGAGTAACAATTTTCCAGTTTCTGTGCTGAAATGTGTATTGGTGTGCAGCTGCACGTGTTGCTGCAGTGCCAGCACCTGTGCATAGCTCTGCTGRTACAGGACCATCCCACAGAAGGAGGCTGTGCTGTGCTGAGCCCTGGCTCAGGATGGGGAGGGAAGTGGCTCCACCAGATGTTTGTGGGGTGCTTCACAGCACCACGGTGTTTGCACAACCACAAACCAAGGGAGCAAGGAAGAAACTGTGCASACACGATGGGTTAGTGGGGAGCAGGGGCAAATGCTGTCATGGCTGAAAGACCTCTCATGTCCTCCAGGTCCTGAATAYGGGGGTCTTTGCACATCCTGGGTGTATTKCTCACTGGGTGATGTTTACTGTCMCTGTATTATATTCTTCACCTTTCAYGGAACTCTGTACATGTGAGCACTGGTATTTCTGTGTGCTACCTGTTGCTCATGGCACAGTGGAGGTGTTTTGAGGTTTTCTGCTTGATATCCCACATCACTCAGAGTCTGAGTCAAGATATACAAAGGAAGCYAATACTTTAAAATTAAGCAGCTGGGGAGAGAGGGTGCCATTCTCTTAATTTTCTTCTTATTCATATTTTATGCCTTCTGCACATTTGCTGCCGACTCAGATTATGCTGTATGATAAGGAATGGAGTTCATGACAGAAAAAACCCTTGCTTCATGGAGATTTGAAGTCTGCAGTGAGGAGGGAGCTTTGAGKGGACAGTGGGATGGGGAGATAARAAYGGATATTRGGATRGYTTGTGGCAGTYATTTGCTTGTGAAGATTTTGCATTTACAGAGGTTAGACTGGTCTGTGTGTTTCATAATCACAGCCCTACATCTCCAACCTGCTGTGTTCTCTCTTGGCAGGCATCAAGATTAAAAAAGAAGTTGCCAATACCTTTGTGAAGAGGAAGAAGAGATCCAGCCCCTATGAATGGTAACAACTCAGGAACTGGGCTGACAGCTGGACTCAGCCTGTTCTGAAAAGGGGGTGGGAAGGCAACAGGGCATGAGAAAGCATTATTGTCTTGTATACTTATGTTACCACCTTAATGTATTGAAGAAAAGAGGCTTTAGGAGACATTCAATGATGGAAAAATGGTTCTTTTTTCATTAGAACCCTTTTCAAAAGCTCATAGCTGGGCTCTAATATTCCTCCCGGGGGGAAAGACAATGCTAACTGTGGGCTAGCYGTGGGGACAGCAGGATACAAGTTARAAGCTGCTCCAGTCTAGAGGGTCWTCAGAACCAGTTTCCAGGATAATGAGAATCACAGAACTTTGGTCATTGCCTCTGGTTSCCCACAAAGAAAACACAGCTTTGTTGTAGGAATAAGGCTGGATTAGATTGACTGCTCTTTCTGAATCTGTAGAACATACATTTACTTGTGCAGAAAAGCAGGCCCAAATATTTGGAGAAATCCTAGTTATTTGAGAAATTTGAGGTAATGCAAGAATGTTCTTCACATATTTCCYGGAAGGGATTGTTAAGTTACTCTTTCCAATACAGAAATAAAGTAAAAATTCACRTGATACTGGTGGGATTCCTGTGGTGGTGTGTACAGTCTTCAGGAAAGATTAACCAAACCTAGAAGAGGAACTGAGAGGGCATCCAAAGTGTATAGATGAGACAAAAAAATTTGGCTTGCTTAGCCTGGCAAAAAAGAAAAGAATAAAAAGCTACATGAAGATAGTGTTCCTGTCTACAACRGAAGTGAGGATAATTAGAGAAAAATGTTTAAGTTAAAGAAAAATAATGACTAGTGGGAAAGTGAGTAGAAACTGGGCAAAAATAAAGGCAAACAAGAAATTAAAAAATAAATATATAGTAAAATAAATAACAACAAAAAATATTCTTGGGTAGTTGGGGAATGAGATTGAAGACAAAAAAAACCCTAAATCCTGTCAGCTTCTATGGTATTCTTTTCTGATAAAACCTCAATTGATTTGAGTTGGGTTCAATCCCATATTTCCCAGCATTGATCAAGCAGCCTGTCCCTGTGTAAGCAGATGTTTAATTCAGCAWGACCAGTCCTCTGCTGGGTCACCCTGGAGAATCACTTCTTTCATGTCACTGTCAGGTGTGTGACCTGTCTCCATCTGCGTTGGCTGAGCCTCCAGAATGTCATCTCTGTCTTTGTCAACTCCAGGTACTACGAGTATTATAAAAGTCCGATGGAGCAGATGCATGAGCGCTGTGAAAACTATCCCCCCTGTGACTATCTCTCGGACCAAATAGGATTTTCGTTGGCCTACAACCRTTTCTTTGGGAGATACTGAGGATGGGAAGGTCTCTTCACTCCAAATTCTACAAGAGAAAGGAGTGAAGGAAAGCATCTACACTGGCATCTTCTTCCATTGTCTCCCTAACCAGCTGGAACACCAAGGCAGGAATTTTTCACTTGTTGAGCTTCCATTAACTTTCTTCCTTTCATCAATAAAGTCTCTTTTCATACATCTTTTGTGGTATTTTGAGCTTCACCAGAAGACTCTGTCTTACCTGAATCCCCAGCACACAATAGGTGAGAAATGGTGATTGATCTCAAGAAAATCACTGCATGCCTCAGAAACACCACTCTTATCCTCTTCTGCAAAATACAGGAGGATATCTAGAAGAAGAACGTCACAACGTATGTAAATGTGATGGAGCTGATCCTGGGAGTCTCACTTCTGGGAGTCCTGAGAAGAAGGAAGGACACCTGTTTCCTGTTCCAATTAGTGGGAAAGTTCAGTATTTTCATGTAGTATAATCACATTAAATRTGCATCACAGTAGGATAATTTTGTAAAGATAGAAGTGTGCAAATACTCTTACATAGACAGCAATCAGGCTCTGGTACACTCTTCTCATTATTCTGTTACAAAAATATTGCCTGTATAGCAACAACAGATAAATCCCAAAAGGTGTGTTTAAGGAGTCCTTTTAAATGAGCTCTTCCATTTGTGTGCTGCTTTTAGTGGCTGAAAAAAGTGCCCTCAAATTCTCTTGGTTTCTGCTTCTTTTTTCACAACCAGTTTCTGGTGAAACAGAATATACCCAAGCAAAACAAAACAAATACCCTCTTCTCTTTTGCTTTTGCAGTTATGCTTGAAATTAAGTATCTAAACAGCTAATTTTTGTTGTTAAAATAAAAAAAGAGAAGAAAGCTATAACCATTATGAAATAAAAAGAAAATAGTTTCAAGGATGGATTGAAGTTGGGGCAGTGTTTTTGTTTATTCAAGACAACTTATAGCTAAATATATATAAAAATGTGTGTGTGTTCTTATATACATATTGTCTTCCCTCTGCACTATTTCGCTTGCCCTCTGGTATGAATACTACACCTTAGCAACTTTCAGCATAACCTTCCTTAATATACTCTGTCAGCTTTTCTTCCCTGAGAGGCGGCTGCAGATCACACCTCCAAGGACGGGGACTGCTGATGCTCGGGAAACTGACAGAGACCAAATCTCTCTGGTTACATTTAAGCTGSTGAAACCAATTCTCAGCTGCTAATGGCAATAAATACTGCTTATGTAAAGGAGGTTGGTGCGCTGCTTCTCTGTGTTCCTCAGTACAACTTTTACCTGTGGTAAAAGAGGTGCCTGGAAGAAACAGCCTGCTTTTGTGAACCCTGAGGAGCAGGAACCCAGTGCATGAGGCTTCCTTCCCCTTTCCCATGCCCCAGTGCAAAGAAATGACTACACTGAAATTTAGGTCATAGTTGCAGCACACTGTGACACTGAGGGGGAGGAGGGCCAGGCTTTACCTGACTCGCCATTTACCCAGATCAGCACTTTTTTGAAAAGCCTGAAGGACAGACACAGGATAARTCCACAGAGATGGCTGCCAGCACGAGCCTTGCTTTGCAAGCTGCTATGTCTTGTTCTGGTTATGCCAAGAAGACACTTAATAAATATCTTTTCTTTTTCTTGGTCAAACACCTGTGAATGTTTCCTCTAGTGACATAAACTAATGGGACTTCACCATTCACAGCAAAAATCTTGGAATGCCATACACTAAAAATTAACAGAGTGCTTTATTGAAAACATTTTTGCTTGGAAAAATAGTAGAGAGATTAGTAGAATCCTAATATCTAGTGTACTAACAAAATAACGAGTTTGTTGGTGTTGTATGGTTTTGTTAGCACAAAAAGTTTCCTGTCTATATTTGCATCTTTCTGTTAGTTTTATATTTTTCTCTCCCTTTCAGTAAATACTTTTTTTCAGGCAAGTTGCACCTGGAGGTCTCCATGATGTCATCTGCTCTGTGTCACCAGATCTCTTCATGGGCCTAAGTAATTATGACCTTTGGGGATCCGAGTGCTCAGATCACGTTACAAATTTACTGCTAAAATGAAGGAATTTGATTTTCGCTCGGTTAATACCKCGCTAAGCACCGCCACAAATCCTCTGCTGCCATCTTACGGCCATTGTATTTATTGTATTTAATARTACACTGCATTACTTCTGAAGCGCTTGAAAATGCAAATTCAGAGGCCTTTCTTCCTAATTACCTTCACACTGAACATACAATAAGAGGTCAGAGGGGAAAACCAGGGACATGATTTSCAAATGGATTATGTGCAGCTGAATTGACATTTTAGTGGAGTTGTTTATCATGGTTGCCAAGCTCCCATGGGAGCCTGTCTCAGCTTAGGCCTGATTTGTCTAAACAGACAGAAGTGAAGATGCTCTGAATWAATTCGTGAGCCCTCCTGTGGACTCACCTTTAGCAGCCAAGTAACCACTTTCTGAAATACAGCCCAAGATACCAGAGAAATTCCAGGAAGAATTGGGTAGTCTGCATCCATCACTTTATATAGCAATTCATGCCATCATCTCATGGCACCAGGAGCTGCAGRTACTGTCAGCAGCAGCAGCAGCTGCTCTGAAAGCAGCCCAGTATGAGACCTCTATGTCACTTCCCACCTATCTCAGAAATATTTTACAAATGCTCTGCCCACAAAATCCAAGCAGCAGCACAAACATATATCTCAGGGAATCACCCCATGTCTGGAGGTGCCCTCCTCATCCAGCCTATCACTATCAGGCCATGGAAAATGGGCTTCATATTTCAGYAGTCAGAACCAAAGCCTCGACAGTTCTTGGCTCATTTTCCATGCAGAAGAGTTATCAGCAGGTGAATAACTGACTCACTGTATTTGGAAGGGTGTCTGGAAAGCAGCTGCCAGGGAAAGGTTTGTCKCAGTACAGAATCTGCATTTACGCACTCATTTTGGCTGTGCCCAATGTAAATAGTCCAACAAGGTGCCACCTTTGTAGTGGTGTAAGAGTAGGATGGGCAGCACATGAGTAGAAACCATGGGATGATAAGGAAAAGGACAATTTGGTTACCTCTGCTTCCAGACAGGAACCCAACCTACGCTGCATTTCTGTGTTGGCTTTATCAGAGTCAACTTTTTAAAAAGGGCTTTTAGAACTCTTGACCAAGGAGCAGTCACYCCAACACATCACTCCTCAGGAGAATTGCCTTAGACTTCTCCAAGCTACGGTTTTCTTCCTTTTTGCAAGAACAACACCAAAAACCTTGGGATTAAAAGAGCTATCAAGGCAATGGACACTCACAGCAGCAACCAGACACTTCCTTATGGATTTTGGGCATACTTCTACCAGTGAATTGTCTGCTTGGATTGATTAATGACTTCCAAATTGCTGCGAGAATTTAGCAAATGATCTTTGGTTGAAGAACAGTCACCAAAACCTGAGAGCAAATTACAAACTGCAGAATTTTCCAGTTCAAAGAAAAACAGAAAGAAACAGATGTAAATTATCTTCCCTTGAAAAAAATGTTCTTTAAAATGTCTTGGGTGGACTATAGGAAGCCGGTGTTACTGGCAGCCTCCTGTTGTTGATATTCTCACAAATGCTGGTAAAAGGGGTAAATATTGCTCTTTATTTGAAATAATGGTACTGTTTATACCACAGAAATAAAATTCTAATTCTTTTTTTTCCATTTGAAATGGATTGTTTTAGGAGCTTTGGGTTCAATTTTAACTTTCCTGCTTTCAGTTCCTCTGCTCCATTTCTTACCTGTCCTAATTTGTTTTTACCACTTGGTTGGTGTTTTCCTCTTGCTTGCAGCCAGATGGTTTCCTAGATGATGTTTGTGAGATCTCATGAAATCTTTCTTCTCCTTTTCCAGCCTGTCTCAACTGAGGCTCTGACAAAATCAATCTGCTGTTRGATGGACAGTGACAATATTGCTCTATTTCTTGCAACTGCCTTTTAGCTTTCCCTMACAGCAATTATGACATCATGGAGAAATAAACTGAATCCCTGTGTAGTTTGTGGGCCAGAGGCTAAGAAAGGTGCCAGTTTGCTTATGTGTTTAGGATGAATATTTGAGATTAAAGTGAGTATCCATCCACTTGCAGATTTCAACTGACTACAGTCCTTGATCAGTCTACTGGGTGATCATAATGCAAAAATAACARCGCCATAACTCACAATTTCTTAGATATGATTACACAAGGTTTTTATTAATTAGAAATGCTACAAACACAATTAGCATGTCATTTCCTAGGCAGAATATATTAGGGGTTATTTTCCTGTTATGGCACCCAGCTGTGTGAATTCTTGCTCATGTGTTTAAWGTTTATTTATTTACATGACAAGTCCAGCTGGTGTCATTGAGAGAGCCAAACATATTCAAGGGGTTTGTAAGGRCAGAAAGAAGAAATTCACCTCTGAGAGTTCGGGCTATACTGCCTCTAATACATTGTTTTGCTTATTTTTTCCCTCTTCCAAACCACTTAATAATCCTGAGCAGAATATTGAAATAAATGGACCATGGGTTTGTCCTGCAGGCTTGACACCATCACCTTCTGAAGGATCAATGCTCTGGGAGATTTTAATGTAACAGGTCCACATCAAATAAGAACTCTGGCACCCTGACTAGTATTTGCCTGTGGTGGTGTATAGACAATAACCTGAGGCTGCTCAGGAAGATCTTTCTAAAGATTTTCTATCTKCTTTGCTTGCTATGCCAGTAATGACAAAGAGGCAAGAAAAGGGTAGAGGAAAACTTGGCTTGCATCCACAGAGATACACAAGACATTCATACTTCTGATGCTGATTTTCATTTGCTTTTGTGTTACAGGTTATGTCCCATACCCTGATGGATATGGCTCTGCATTCCTTTGATGACCAGTATCTGGGGTACAGAGAGGAGATGATGGAAGAACTGGAGCAAGGAGACTATTTTCAAAACGAAATAGCTGCTAACAAGGGCTATTTGAGTCTCTGGAAAAAGGCCCAGGAGGCTTTGCTAAAGAGCCCTGTAGGTCTCCTGAGGGAGATGCATGACAGCCATGCCATAGTCCTCATGGCTTAYACCATGAACTCCTCCCTGCACTCGCAGCTGAACCGGGCTACATCTACAGCAGGAATTTCTCCAGAGCACTACAGACACGAGTTTAAATATTTTCACTTCTATCTAACAACTGCTATCCAGATAATGAAGAAATGGCAGAGCAGCATGGGGGAACATAAGTGCCACCAAGTGTACAGGGGTGTAAAAGACTTATGTATCGAGGCCATGGAAGGCAGCATGGTGCGATTTGGCCATTTCACTTCTACCTCCTGCCTCAAGAATGATGCCCGGAAGTTCGGGAATGAAACTTGGATCACAGTGACCACTTGCCTRGGAGCAGCTCTGCAACGTTTTTCTTACCGCACATCTGAGAAGGAAGTCCTCATTCTGCCTTATGAGATATTTCTTGTTAAAAACTTCTTTTAGACCCAGCAGGGTAACTGGCTGCATCTGCATTCTGTGGGGAACTACAGCAAGTACCAGTGCCAGCTGTTGGAAGGTAATGTGCACAGCCTCTTGTGCAAGGGGGGTGCAGGACAGTCAGGTCTCCACTGCCAGGCAGTCCCCACCAGCTCCACCTTCACRGGGCCACACTCAAGGCCAAACCTGTACCTTGCCTGCTGTGCTCTCYCACAAGAGCCACAAGACCCAGGTTTAACCTGTTTGCTGTGAAACCAGGGACAACCCCACAGCTCACTAAAGATGGTCTCAAGGGTCTTGCAGCCCCCATTTATCTCATCTGCCATTGCAAGGCTGTTGTAGGACTCATGCCTTTGGGTGCCCAGCATACTTATTGCAAGAGTGGTTCAAGCAAACCAAGTAATCCATGCTGGCATCTTGCAGTGCTGCTACACTTTCAGCCTTAGGACTGTTCTAGGCTTTGGTCCACTGCTGCTTTGGCAAACTTCTACTTCTACACTTATCTCTGGCAAGCTAAGTGTAAACAAAGCTACCATTGCTTTAGCAGTGACCTCTCTCCTGAAACAGGGGGGAGAAAAGGTACCTGTTGATAAAGAACACACTGAGTTTCCTTGTTACAGAGGACTCAGTGCTGGAATACCTCACTGTTTCGCATCCCTGCCTTTCTGTGAGTCTACCACCAATCCAGGACTCTTTGTCTCTTTAGACAATAGTGTGTCAATGCAATCTTTGAGCTCAAAACAACTATTTAGGAATGAGAGCTTGTGCCTCCTAACCCAAAGTAGTAGACATAGTTAAGAAAATGGCTTTTGTGGGCAAAAGTTATGTTAGCAAATGCAMAAAGCATCAGGCAGTGAGAAGAGGAATAAATAACTGCTCTTTTCACTTTCTTTCAGCTTCAAGAAGCAAGAATAGTGGTTATACTGCGCTTGCCTCTGACACTCTTCCTAGTGTGCTTGGAGTTTCCCTGTGCTTGGTCCACAATCTCTGATTCTCCATCTGCATCCACATATGTGGCCTTGAATAGCGGGCAAGAAGTCTCTGGAATTCCTGTTGCTGGAGAAGGTTCAATCTTCCCTTCGCCTTCAGCTGCAATTCTCCAGCCAAGACTGGAACATTCTGCCTGGTTCATCAAAACAGACATTCCCTGGACCCATTCAGGTAGGAAGAAAGTWACCTATGGCCTTTCTGAAGATTAGATCAGGGATAACCTTCACCACAGACAGGTTTTCCGTTAGGCATTCAGGAAAGACCCACAAGTACTTTGGWCTCCTTAATACCTTTATTTTTAGTGAGAAAGATTCTGTCTGTAGGATGTGGAAGGCACCATGGCAGTAAAGTCAAGTGGGTAACTGGACAGCTGTGCATATCTTCATGGAGTGCAGGGGAAGTTGGTGCCAAGATGTGCATTGAGAAGTCAGATTATTGTGTTGTTTGAAGAGACAGAGAAGTACATTAAGTCATGCAGATTCTGGCAGACCCTGAACAGCATTTCTTTACCACTCTTAAAACCAAGATGGGCTAACATTTTTGAGGTGGTGTCTGACTGAAAAGAAARCAGAGGAAATCCAGAAGGGGTTATTACAGGGGAATTACAGGGAATAAAGGTGGATATATTTGTGGTAGATTGTTACATTTCTGAAACCAACAATAAAAAACGCCAGTCCACCTGACCTATCCTTCCCTAAAACACTGGTAGAAGAAAACAGAGGAAATGCTCTTGATAGCCTTTTCTGGGGTCTTACAAAGCAGGCCAGCAAAATAAGGTGTAAACAGCTGCAAGTATTGGTACTCTGATGGCCAGAAAGTATGACTTTGACATACAATCTTCAAAGTAAAAGAAGTGCTGTAAATTAATTATTCTCACTTTTTGGTGTTTGTTAGTAAATTTGTGTGAGTCCTAGCAAACAACTGCTTTGCATCATCCTTACAACTAAAATAATTTATTTTGTATATAGTGGTGGGTCTACAGAATTAAACCCTCTTTTTTGGGAGGAGGGAATAGACACAGCAAARTCAAAAACATGACATCCATGTTCAAGGGACAAAGCAATTGAAGACTGAGTAATGTAATGTTTTGTCAGGTTACATTTCCCTGAAAAGTGACCTATATCAGCCAGTTCATACACTGACTGGATGGTGCAAGCATCCCTTGATAGGTGGGAGCACAAAACATTCTTTTTGCTTGGGTGCCCATCACGATACCATTTTGACTGCTAAGGAAGTTATGTCCTTCTGCTTGCACCTAAGGGTTCTCCCAAGGCCAACAAGAGATACAGTCCTGGGATAGTGTGAGGCTCAGAGACCCCTCCTGGTGTTGCTTTTGCTTGTGCCAGAGCCCTTGTGGGCTGCAGGTTCACTTTTCTAAGGATCAGAGGATGAAAGATCTCTGACTTGGTCAAAGACAGATGTCTTACTGGGACAGAAAAAACCTATTCCCACTGTCTGTGGTATCTATTTTTCTGTTTATGTGGACTGTTCAATTGTTCTTCCATAATTTGCAAGTATACAAAAGCAGTCATTGTAGAAATTCATTATTTCAAGGCATAGCTGCAAGCATTAATGTTTATGTTTACAAAAAAAAAAAAAAAGAATTTATAAATCCCAGTAAAATCCCTAATCCTGTATCTATTTTAATTAAAAATGCTGTCCTACACCTTTTGTGTTCTGAGGACAGCAAGTAACACCATCCTTTCAGCCATGGCTGTAGGTGCCTGTGATACACCTCTGCTCCAGGCAGGAGGAATTTGTCCTGTGCCCATTCTCTCCAGGAACAGAAGGCCTTTGGAGGATCCAGTAATTGGGAACCAGCATAAGCAAACTGAATTATGTTAAAATTGAAAGGAAGGGGAAAGGAGGAAGAAAACGAGATGAATCTGGGTAAACATCACACAATAGAATTAATGACAAGCAGGCAGGCAACAGGATGCAACTGAAGCCCAGCCCCTGGATCCCTAACTCATCACATGCTGCTGGAAAACACCAGATGAGCAGAGGGGAAAGAGGCTGAAGTTACTATCCCATACACATTTCAGCAGGAGCAATCAGAGAAAACCAGGTAGGCAACCTAAATGTTTATTTAGAAACGTTTCTGCAGAAAATCTCCCTGGAGCTGGAGAAATAGGAATACAGAAATATATGTAGCCTGCCTAATTGTATGAAGGAAAATGTAAAAAAAAAACTAGTGGAAGTGCTAAGGTGAAGAGTTAGAAGTAATTTTAGCATTAGGAGACATTAAGTCTAGAGCAGCTATCAGAAGTTGAAAAAATCATATATAAAGAACAGATTCTAAAAATCTCCTTCACACCTGTCTAGTATGTAAAATGTTYGTTGAAGTGCTATCCCTTCTAAAACTTTTTGTCTTCCCAGTTTCTAATAAGGTAAAAGAAATTACCTTAGAATAAAGCACCCTGGGTAGAAAGGTTTTAGTATCACACCGAGTCARAGAGCAAACCAGCAACATCTCTGAGGCAGGACTTACATGAAGTTATAGCTTGCATTAACATGGCTTCATGTTTCCTGAAAATCAAAAACCTTTACTGTTTATGTATTTTGCTCCCTACAGCTTGAAGAAGATGTGTTAAAGAGTTTATTCTCTTGGCAGAGCTGCAAGGTAAGTTGCTGAAACAAAACACAGTGCTGTGCAAAATATTGTGGAAAAAAACTCTTTTCAGACTGGCTTGTATTTCAACACTGAGATTAAAAGTTGGCAGGGGATTGTGAAATCATTCTGGTTTTCTACCGTGACCTTGTGGGGGAGGGTGTGTTAGTAAAATACAGCTGGGTCAGTGTCAGATGATTTGCAGCTAACAGACAGTGCAAGAACAACAAAGGACCAAAATGGCAAAARGGTATCTTTTTAAAAAGAAAAAACTAGGTAGTCCCCTACACATAACTATTTATATCTCTAACTGTGATATGTAGGCACCAACAACAAGAAGAGATTTTTCTTTGAAGAATGCAAATCACTGCACAAAAGTGGCCCAGATTTGCAATAAGAGGGCTTAGAACACAAAAAGTACCAACAAAGAAATGAGGCATCCTACTCATTCATAGTTTTCCCCTGTAGCAAAGGCATTTGCATTTAAGCTGAAATCATCCTAAAGCATTTTCATTTCGAGGCTGGTGATAGGTTGAAGGGAAATGACACAATCTTGATTACAGAATTTTAGTGATGAGGAGTAACTCCATGCTCACTGGCACCTCAGTCTCTTCTGACTCCCTATTTTGGTATGCAGTATATGAAGAAAAAAAAAATTAGGTAAATATGCCCTTTTGCTGGCAAACTAACAACTCAGAGAAGAATGGAGGCCATAAGGATTAGACACAAGGGATTGAGGGGAGTTGAATTTTGGTCTGTACAGTGGTAAGGGAGGGCCAGATTCTGCTCAGTCAAATCCTAGGAGCTTTGTGAGCTGCAATACCTGMGGATATTGTTTTCCCATGAAACAGAGGGTGTGAGGTTGTGCAAGAAGGGCAGGCCAGTGTGTGCTGCTCCAAGGCAGTCTGACATCACAGCCAGCCAGGCATCGGTGCACCTCCAGGTGCTTACACAGGGTGCTCCACATCACGGGGATAACTGCASAGTGAAAAAACAAATGGGAATTGATTACAGCATTAGGGAATAAACCATGAGGGAACAGGGGCTAAATATCAGGGAAGGAAGCACAGTGAGAGATGTGTGTAAGCTGACATAGGTTAGGATGGGGTTATTATAGATAATTTTAYTATTCTCTATGAATTTCCAAGGGTAAGCTTCTTAGTAGAAGCACAGAATGCTTATATAGAAACATTTTGTCTTGAATGTTAGAAGAAAAAATCTATACTGGCATAAAATATTCTTACTGTGACGCAGACCATGTCCACTCCACCAATGATCATGTTTGCTGAAAAATTGGATGCCACTAAATGGAAAAACAGGCTGATACAAAAGAGTGCCTAGAACAGGCCACATCTTTAGTTTCGCTGACTAGGTGAGATTGTTCCATTTTTTAGTGAACTAGCTCAGCTTCTACCATCTTCAGTTTCCAAGGTTTTAATTTCAGTTTTCAGTTGCCAATGACCTACATTCATTTCACCACTCTGCTCATTATATACTTGTTGGCTATTTTTKTTGCTCTGAGTAAACCCACTGTCTTACAAGGTCCTTTTCCAATCATCTGGCCAAAGATCCAAAACAAGAATTAAGACTTCTACATTTACAAGATATGCCTTGAGATGTGACCTGTTCAGTATGAAAGGAACCAGTGGGGCAGAGACAAAGCACATTTCACAGCTCATTTTAGGGCTATGATTATGGGTATTGAACAGAGTAAGAAATTTCTTTTTTCTTTTGAAGTAACCTGTTTCTGAAGAATGGCATTGAGTGACCTCCTTTACCCTGATAATCCCAAGAGAAAGCAAGAATTAATCCATCTGCATCAGGAATTGCTTGACTCTATGTCTGCAAATTTCCATGCAACAAATGAGCTGGTTGGAGTGCTGAACAAACATCTGGGCTGCACCATTACCCCCATCAAAATGAGAGAGAGCAGCACTGTCAAGGAAAACTGTGACATGATCATTCAAGTGATAAGTGAGATTCAGCATCAGGTGCAGAAGATCGACAGTGACATGAAGGAAAAGCTCGAGCCAGTTCTGTACCAGAAGCTCTATGATGTCAAAGAGCCCGAGTTGGAGAAAATTGCAATAGCCCAGAGAGTTTTTTCCATTATTTTTGGAGAAGCGACTTCAACAGCTGCAATGGTAGCTATCAAACTTCTTGGTTCCAATTTTTTAACTCTCACTGTCAGCACACTCATCAGCCTCCTTGCACAGATTGGGGCGTCTGTTCTTGGGGGAGTCAGCATTACCATTATTGGGCTTGGCCTTGAAATGATCCTCCATGCCATCCTGGGAGCCGTGGAGAGGAGTCAGCTTCTGACAGCTGTGAGAAGCTATGAGAAGCACCTGGCTGAGTTTAAAGCAGCCTCAGAAAAGTACCAGTGTGCCATACATGAAGTGACATCTTTGGTGAAACAGCAAGTTCAGTGAATGAAGCTGGACTTGTTTTCTGCTGCGACAGCAGCTATGTCAGCAGAAACCTTTTTGATTCACTATGACTAATGAACTACTGATTGCTTTTTTTTTTTTTTTCTTATTAGTGGTAGCAGAACAAGAAATATGACAATTCAGGAAACTGGCACTGAAATATATTAAAACAGAACTGGTTTGCAGGTGTTTCTGGGAGACAATGTTTCAAATACTCTGCACCTTTCCTTAAGCTTGTTTTCTTGAAAGCATTGTAGGTAATCTTGAACTGTAATTCTTACTAGTGACAATAACATTGACTGCTGGAGTGGTAGTGATGAGAATTTGTGTTTCTGTATYGAAGATGACAATATGATGGGAGAAAACTTCAACACGGCAATCCATGCCAGCATCTGGAGGCCTTATCAGGACATCTGTGGTTGCTAAACTCATAGTATAGATTAGTGCTAAATCTGATAGACTGAATTCCCTGTTCATTACAAGGACTARCTGAAGCATATTTAACTGCTATTTCCTGCCCTCCTAAGGAGCCAGCCAGAGATCTTCTTTAAATAAACTCTAATCCCAGTAGACTGACACTTAAGAGAAGCMTGGGCCTACAGGCAAACATACACAACCTTGCCCCACAACTGAGAGAAAACTGAGAGCTGCTGTGTTCCAGGTGTGCCTGGCCATGAATAAACTGTTATGCTCAGTAATACTCTGCTCCAGCCAATACAAAGGTAAAAATCTCTGTGCAATGTTCCTGTTTTGTTGACTGAAATGGGATTATACACATGTCCCAGGGCCTGTAGGATTGTAGCCCTATTAATGTATTAATGTTATTTTCAAGTCCTTTATCCGATCCCATCAACGTGGGACTGCCAAGAATGTGCTCAGATCCTATATTTCACAATATGCTATCAAATATCCTTATTTTTCAGATTTTCAAACCAATGCTGGATGCAAGAACATGACTTGTAGTGTCTTGCTCTGATTTGCTGTGAATTTCTTTTTCTTGATCTTAGGAAAAAAAAGGTAATTCAAGAATTAATAAAAATGTACCTGACTAATGGAAGGCCTCTCTTTTCTGTACTTGGTTGGGTTTTTTGGGTTTTTTTTTTTTTTTTGGGAGGCCTTTTTTTTGTCTGAAAAAACAATCTTTAACCAAATAATGAAGAAGTATTAAAATCTTAATTATATATGCAATTTATATTTTTTCTTAATCCATGATAGACCAATCTAGTAGGGTCATGCATAGGTTCCTTTTTTCAGTACCAGCTTCCCCCATACTAAAAGCATGTCCAAAATCATGTTTGTTAATATTGTATATYAGCAATTTAAGTTTATTAATAACTAGGTAGTGCCTATGAAATAAAGATATGGGTGAGATTCACAACCCTTCTATTCTGGGGTTTGGGGAGTTTTTTGTTTCATTGGGTTTTTATTCTACTCCACCTCTGTTCTCACTTTAATCTTAAAATTCTGACTTGTCTTCCCTTTTATGGGCAAAAGCCACTAGATGACAATGAAACTGCTGGCGCTCAAAAGCTCTGTCAGTCATCAGGGAGAAAGCCCAGGGTTCAGAAGCATAGATGGGTGCCAGGGACTGAGAAACTGGGACCAGTACAAGCTGCAGACTGGGCTATGTGGGTCAGGAAAATCAACTCAGAGGAGGCAAAAAGCATTTCCTTGCCTACATGGGGTATTGTGATGAATGACATGGTGACCTGAGGCATCATTTCTCCAAGATGTTACATCTTTTGTCTCCTGATACAAATGGCACTCAGTTTAGAGGGGCTTGTGTAGAGGCAAGACTCTGTCAATGAGTAGAACAGCAGTATTTGAGTATTGGAGAGGTAGGAGTTCCTGGCTTCTGCTTTCTATGTGCAAATGTACACTAGGAAGTAAAAAATTATTGCCAATCAGTGCTGTATTAGAATAGTGGAGTCAAATGAAAATCAAAAATCTCTTGTATTTTTCAAGCAGTTTGACCACATTTTCTTGAAAGCAAATGCTAAGCAGTGTCAGGGAAAGTGGGATCTGCAATGAGGAACACAGAGATGTATGATTCCTGCTCGCCTCTAGGCGTATCCTTGTTCCTGAGGCAATACCAGTATTGCCAGGAGAGAAGATCCCAAGCCATGTGAGGTGCAGCTAATCTTCAAAGATCAGCCATCCCCCTCTACAGTGATATTGCACATGACAGGGATGTGCGTGGTCACAGCTTTCCATCACATGCTCTGGAGCACTCCCCTTTGCTCAGGCTGCTGTTCTGGACAAAGGATTAAGCACTAAAACTGTGATATATCTGTTCCAAATAAGAACAGCCTCAAAAAAAAAAAATGGCCCAGACCAATCTAAGCTGCTTTCAGACTTGAGTGSAAAAATAGTATGGTTGCAATCAAAATCTGCCCTGCAGAAAATTGTTTCTGCTAACAAGAATAACACAAATCAAACATGCCAAAGAGGCACAAGGTGGGGATGACTATGCTGTGCATGTGGTTAGCAAGACTCTCTAGGCACTAAGAGCTCCTGAAGCCTTGGCTCTGAGGATGATAATTGACTGGCTATCAGCTTTCTTGGATTTTATGCAGTTTGTGCCTAATTCTGGCGCTAATGTCATGCACAGTTTACAGTCTTTTCCCCACCCCGCAAYGATCCTTACAGATTAGCCAACTGAGTCTCCATTATTTGAAAAACTGTAACAACAGYGAGTTGCATGACATGTTCACCAGGAACAGGGATTCTACAAATCCTATGCAGAGATCTGACCACCTCTGCTCCCAGGTATCTCCTGTGCAGAGAAAAAATACCTTCCTAAATTTCCTCCTCTGCAYGCTAGTTCTTTAAGCCTGCACCCATGTTTTATTGCCTGCACCTTGATGTTTTGTGTATCTTTATCCTGGCTCTTCATGGGTTGTGGACTTYCGCTGCAAATTGTACCTTAGACACAGAGCGGCTCCTACCAGGCCCTCACCAGCCTCGCCAGTTCACCRCAGCAGCAGCTGTAGGAAGAGACAAGTATCAGGGTAGTTTCTGGGGTTCCCGACGGTATCAAATTCTCTCTCTCGTTCTCTTTGCACATCTGACTGGATGAAGYTATCCAGTCACTTCTTTCCAGCAGTGCCCTGGAAAAGCAGCTGACGCAGGAGCCACTGCCCCGCTGACAGGGCAACAGCCTGAAAAGAGACCCGCGGAACAGACCTGAGCCTGTGGGCAGCCCCTGCTCCCGCACAGCTTTGCATTTATTCCTCATGGACAGAGCCTTCTCACATGGCCTCCGGCTTTACCTTGTTTCAGGGCACGGGGTGAAGTGCCCTGAATCTTTAATGGAGCACTCCGCTGGATAATGGGGGAATCTCCACCGGAGAGCGTGGGGGAGCAGAAGCCACGTTGGCCGCCGTTCGCATCCCTATTTCCAGCACTGGCCGTTCTCCGGCACCCGCACTAATCCCGAACCGYGTGTGTCCACCCCCTCCCAGAGCCACTGTCTACCCCTGTCCCCGTCCCCATCCTCTCTCTATTGCCATCTCCAGCCCTATCCGTGCCCCTGCCCCGGCCGGTCCCCCCTTCAGCCCCGCCTTCCAGCGCCATCCCGATCCAACCATAGAGTTGGAACCTCCGAGGGGGAGCGAGGGGAGGCGGAACCATCGAGCTGGGGCTGCCGCTTCCGGCGCGCGTCTGTCGCTTCCGGCGCGCGTCTGTCGCTTCCGGCGCGCGGGTCGGCGCCGCCACAGGGTCCCGGTGCAAGATGGCGGCTGAGCGGGGCTGAGCGCGGCCGCTGCAGCGGGCGGGAGCCGGGCCCGGCCGGGCGGAGGGGTGAGAGGGAAGCGGCGGTGCTGCGCTGCGAGGAGAAGAGGAGCGAGGAGAAGGCGGCAGTTCGCGCTACCTCATTTTTTTTCTCCTTCCATTGGGCGGGAGTAAGAGCGGGGGCATTCTGCCCCGTTTGCCTGCGGCCAAAGGAATAATTAATTTAGTGCTTGATTTATTATATTTTTTTTCACCTTCGGCCGTAACTTGATGCGTTGAAACTCTTTCGTTTGGGTCTTAAGGTTTGAAATCGAGGTTTCAGAAGTTTGTTCTCTTTCCATTTACCCTTTAAATATTAGAAATGTGGGAAATACAGGGTGTAAGTGTAACTGCTATCGCTGTTTAGTGAGCTTCCCACCTAAAGAAGTGATAGTGTCTTGTAAAAAAAAAAATCCTAGTGTTTTGGCAGGGAAGTAGTTTTGGAGGTGTAGGGAGAGCAGARACATCCTTGGCTGTAGTTTGGACACTTACGTTGTCATCTGTAAGCTGAAGAAATGCCTAAAGACAGGAAACATTTTTTYGTGAATAATGCTGCATTTGATGATGGATACAGGGGGTGCTGGGAATAGACATCAGGGGCACTCAGAAGTCTGAGGAAGGGAGGAAATTTGTGGGGAAACATTTGAAACAGAGAAAGTTGAAAACTGAAGAGCACTTAGGAGAATGAATAAGAAGCTAAACTCTGATATGGTCTTAAAAAATAGAATATATGTTTTTACCTGCCCTGCAYCCGTCTGTAGTGTAAGCACAAAGCTTCTTGGTTTGAGTCTTAGTGTGAATATTAACAAACTCGTCAATTAGTTTAAAACTGTAGCTTACTAAAGAAGTAGTAAGTAGATACTTAGTTAAATAGTAGTACTTTGTTAGAGTAGGGCAATTTTGGTATGAGTGCCTGAGCTTATAGTCAGGTTTGAGGACCTTACAAGCATTTGAGCTCTTTGAGGGAGTAAAGTGCTGATTCAAAGAAGAGAAATAATTATACTCAAGCTGCCAGTGCATAGTAAACCATGTCATCTTTTCCAGGTCCCTCCTTCTTTTTAAAGTTTTTTTTGAGKCAGAAGAAAAAAGGTCAAAATGGGGCGGAGATCTACATCATCCACCAAGAGTGGGAAGTTTATGAATCCCACGGATCAGGCCCGTAAGTATCCATAAAAGCWGAGCAGGTGGGAATGGGGATTGCCTAGAAAAGCAGACAAAACACTTTCTCTGAGGATAGAATCCTCCCTTGTGGATCAGAACTGAGTTTCTCTAACTTGAAAAATGYTATTGCTGTTTTGTCTGGGAAGCATTCT